GTATTGAATGCTATAATCTTAAAGCTATACATTGAAGCTTAAATAAGAGCTTGAATGGATAAAATAAAGGATATAAAGGTGTCATATTCTAATTGGTAACTACAGGGAAAAATTGCTCAATAAGAAAAGATAATGTGAAATTGTAACAGGACAGACAAAAGTATAAATATAATGATTTGAATTGAGATAATTAAAACAAAGTTGAGAAAATTAGAAGAGGGGAAAAACTATGTAGAAAATATAAAATGGTAATAAGATATGGAATATAATATAAAAATGAGCATGAAATTGAGTTTTGTGTCTGTATGAAGAAGTGATAACCTGGGACCATGCTATTTTCAAAAAAGATGTTTTATTTGTATTTTGTTTTTGTGAAAACCCAAATAAAATTTTCAAAAAAAAAAAAAAAAAAAAGGAACAGTAGGACAGAGACAGTAGGCACATTGGTGCGCTTATGCACATCCCCTTACAGACTTCTTAGGAATGGAACGAGGTCAACAGTAGACAGTCTAAGGTTAAAGTTTTTGGGGCTTGCAGAAGAAACCACAAAGTCAGGTAGCGTATTCTAGATATTAACCACTCTGTTGCTGAAGTTGTATTTCCCTAACCCTAACCCTAACCCTAACCCTAACTCCTATTCTATTCTATTCTATTCTATTCTATTCTATTCTATTCTATTCTATTCTATTCTATTCTGTTCTGTTCTGTTCTGTTCTGTTCTGTTCTGTTCTGTTCTGTTCTGTTCTATTCTATTCTATTCTATTCTATCTCCCTACTTATTCTAGCCCTTCTTTTCACACACACCCCAAAATTTTTGAGCCATGAGTTTTGTGTTTTTCTTTACCATGTCTCTTATTGCTTGTTTGACCACATCATTTTTCAGTGTGAAGAGGAAAGGGTTCAGAAATGGACAGACAATTGTGGTGAGAAAAGAAGGGATCTTGTGGATATCAAGAGTCTCCTTTTGGGATGGTGTGACATATATAAAGATGCTGATACCAGAGGCGACAGAGATCATGGTCAGGTGGGTAGCACAAGTATTGAAGACTTTTGCCCGACCTGAAGTAGTGGTGATACGTAGTATGGCTGAGATGATGTATATATAAGAAAGTAGGGTTAAGACTGAAGAACTGAGGATCACAACCGATGACAGCAAAAAGTCTATGAACTCTATGAGATGGGTGTCACTGCAGGAAAGATTCAGCAGAGGGCCGCTATCACAAAAGAAATGGTTGATGATGTTAGACTTACAATAGATTAGCTTGGAGATCAGAATGGTGGGAATAAGAACAGAGATGAATCCACCCACCCAGCAACCCACTATGATATGGATGCAGACCTGGTTGTTCATGATTATATGATATTGCAATGGGCTGCATATAGCGGCATAACGGTCATAAGACATGGAGGTCAAGAGAATAAACTGTACTGTCCCTAGGAAGAAATAGAAATAACTTTGTGTTATGCAACCACTGACAGAGATAGACTTGTCACCAGAGAGGAGGTTCCAGATCAGTTGTGGACTGGTGACAGTGGTGAAGAAGATGTCCAGTAGGGAGAAATTGCCAAGGAAGAAGTACATTGGAGTATGGAGGTGGCTATCTTGTAATGCAATGTAGAGGATGAGGGTATTACTTCCCAAGGTTGAAACATGGTTAAAGATAGGAAAGCAAGTAGGAGCTCTGATGGATGTCCAATGGAGAAACCCAGGAGGATGAATTCAGACACGCTTTGGTTCTCCATTTGATTTTTTCTTATGGTTCTTAAGAACAGCACCTGAAAGTACAAAGTTTGTAACTTGAGAAGCACCCACTACACCATAACTTGCTTGTACACCAAATTTTGCAATTCTCATTCATAATTATTCCTAATGCAAACATTGCAATTTTGTCTCAAATTTCCATTTGCCAACCATATAAAACCTAGAGACAAAAAAAAAAAAAAAAACAGTTTAAGATAGAGATTTTCAAGAGGACAGTCAAGGGTTCAGTCTTGACTGAAATCAAACCTTCCCTAGCTATTCTTCATAGATTTCCAATACTCAATATGGAAAGTGAAGTAGGGCATATTAATTGTGATAAGCATAAATATTTTTTTGCAAACTATTGCAGTATTTTTTGTGCATGTCCATTCTCATTCAGAGGCAAAAAAGAAAAGAAAAAAAATCAGAGATTCAGAGACAAAAAGGGAAAGACAAAACACATGGAATGCACACAGAACACTGCAATAGTTTGTAAAAAAATTTTTTTTTCTTTATGCTTATCTCAATTAATATACCCTATTGTATTTATCAATGGCATCTTCCTGAATCCCAAATGTTTTCACTTATCTCCAAGAAACACATACAGGGAAGGAGTATAGGAAAAATACAGGATTTATCTTCTATCTCAACCAGCCCCGTGGTATCTGATTGGTCAAAATGCTGGACCAAAATCCCTTTTGGCTCTTATATTATGATTTGAATGAATAGAATGAATAAATGAATGAATAAAATATAATTGGAAGGGACCTTGGAGGTCTTCTAGTCCAGCCCCCTGCTCAAGCAGGAGGACCTATGCAATCCCAGACAAGTGACTGTCCTGTCTCTTTTTAAAAACCTCCAGTGATGGAGCATAAGTAGTTAAAATTTATAGGTAGTTTAAATCTGGTGTAGTGGTTAATCCACCAAGTTAGAAACTGAGAGATGGTGAGACCATCCTTGGAATATTGCATCCAGTTTTGGTTGCCATAATATCAAAAAAGATATTGAGACTCTAGAAAGAGTGCAGAGAAGAACAACAAAGATGATTAGGGGATTTGAGGCTAAAACGTATGATGAATGGTTGCTGGAACTGGGTATGTCTTGTTTAATGAAAAGAAGTACTAGGGGAGACATGAGAGCCTTCCAATATTTGAGAGGCTGCCACAAAGAAGGGTTCAACCTATTATCTTAAGCACCTTAAGGCAGAACAATGGATGGAAACTAAACCATAGAAATGGTGATAGATTTTAAGAGAAACCTTCCTGTACTATCACCTCTTACAATACTAGACTACACAGTATTAACAGTAGAGACCTTCACGTTTCTAGGTTTTATCATATCTCAAGACCTAAAATGGACACCTAACATCAAAAATGTCATCAAAAAAGCACAACAAAGAATGTTCTTTCTGCGCCAACTCAGAAAGTTCAAACTTCCCAAGGAGCTGCTGATTCAGTTCTACAGAGGAATTATTGACTCTGTCATTCAATACAGCAAACATCTCTCCTGAAGATATCATTGAAATAACAAGAGATGGTCCTGATTAAAATACAATGACGGCTCGGTGGCCCCAAGATTTTGTAGAGTTGTTTGCAAAAATGAGCCCAGCAAACATATATTTATTCATACAATAAACGGCATTGCTAAAACCAATTCCATCCATAACAAACTTCACTCATGATCGGACTTATCCATACTGCAAAGAATATATATATAAACAATAAAATATTGTTAATACAACAAAAACCCCAGAAGCTTTTTTTTTTTTTAAGAGGGGACTACAGTAAAATATAAAGGAATACAATATTTTGGGACTGCTGGAGGTTGACTGTGACAAGAAAACTGAAGAAAGAGAAAGTGGGAGGAGACTTTTGGCAAGGACTATAATAGAAAAATTTGATTTTTAATAAAGAAATGGAACAAATAAGTAAAGAATTTAAGTTGGAGCTGCAAACTGTGAGAAGTATGTTGAAAGAAAGAATGAAATTGCTAGACACAATGATTAGTAAAGTAATGGTGTTGCAGCTTGCAAAAGAACAAAGAAAGCCCAGAGACAATGAATCGGAAGAGGGAAACAACAGCACAGATGAATATGGAGAACAAGGACTACTGCCAAAGGATATAAAAGGATTTAAAACAGAGACATTGATAATAGAGACAACAAATAAAAGAGACAAGGTTCCCAAGACTAAAAAGAAGAAGAAGAAATTATATAAGAGACCCCAAAAAAGAGAACTGGAAAGGGTGGGGGAAAACATGGCTGACAGGAGGAGGGGAATAAAAATAATACCAGAAGGAAAAAAAGAAGAAAGACCGGGGAAATTTAGAAAAGGGAAAGCTGGCTAAAATTAAAGGAAATAATGAAGCCGAAAAATTTAGATATAAGGGTTAGGGATTTTATAAGGGGGATACCACATAGGAATGTATATTGATATTTAGTCTAAAACTTGCTGGCAAGTATTTTAGGATCATATAACTATATATAGATATGAATCGTATACGAATTATACTGTTATGAACCCTTTTATTGGAGGATTAAAAACAGAGGATATATTAAGAGGTTATTTTAGTAATTTACTGGGGGGATACTTTAAAATATATACATTTCAAAACATATAGTTGATTATTTAATGGATATTAGAAGTGTATCATGAGAGTATTTTATTATGATTAAAGTAGGGGAATGAAAAACACCATGTGGATTCTAAATATATTGGTTTTAATTTATTTTTACTCTTTTTAGATTGTTTATTATATACCGGATTAGAAAAAAATTAAGGATAATAATGATACGTAATCTAAAAAAATAAAGATAAAGAATTGAAAAGTTATGTGTGGATGAAATGAGATTGATATGAATTAAGGAAGTGAAATATGAAATGCAAATTTATTTAAAGGTGAGTGAAATGGATAATGATATGAGATGATATTATATTAGAAAAATGGAAATGAAAGTATGACTATGTACAAGTGTTATAATCCAGAAACATGTTGCTCACGTGAAGAGATGTGTAAAAAAAAACAAAAAACTTTTTATTCAAAAAATATTCTTTGGCTCTGTTTTTGTAAACAGCAATGGATCATGCCCAATATTTCCTAGTCGAACCACAGACAACTACAATGATCTAATACATATCAATTTTACAGAAGATAATGTTGAAAAAGCACTATGCAATCTAAAAACATCTCTATCTATTGGACCAAACGGAATATGTGACTACTTCTTAAAAAAGCTATCCACTGCCATAGCAGAACCTCTAAGCATAATCTTTAAAAAATCTTTCAGGACCAGCTCCTTGCCAAACCTATGGTCACTAGCCATGGCCATCCCCATCTTCAAAAAGGGTGACCCCAGCCTAGTTGAAAATTACAGACCAATCTCTTTATGTTGAGTCACCTGTAAAGTCATGGAATCAATTATTAACCAATCCATTATCCTCCACTTAGAGACAAACAAACAACTCTCTAATAAACAATTTGGTTTCAGAAAAAAACCTATCCTGTAATCTACAACTTGTACTCTGCAAAAACACCATGTGGATTCAGGGCAAAACAATTGACGCTATTTACATAGAGTTCTGTAAAGCCTTTGATTCAGTGGTACATGACAAACTACTCCTAAAACTAAAATCTTATGGTATTTCCAGACACCTGCATATCTGGATAAATGTATTCCTGTCAAACAGGCAACAAATGGTCAAAATAGGGAGCGCCCTATCAAATTCTGTACCTGTCAACAGTGGTGTCCCCCAAGGCAGCGTTTTAGGACCAACTCTCTTTATACTCTACACAAATAACCTCTGTGATCATATTAAGAGCAACTGCATTCTTTTCACTGATGATATAAAGCTATTCAACACCACTGTCAATACTGCTACCCTTCAAAATGACCTTGACTATGTGTTAGAATGGTCAAATAATAGCAACTTCAAATCTCAACAAACAAATGCTCTGTCTTACATATTGGCAAAAAAAAGTCACCTTAGAGTACTCATCTCTAATGAGTACTCTACTCTAATGCTAGAGCCCACTGTAACTACATAGCCAAAAAGCCATTAAGACCTGTTAACCTAATCCTACGTAGCTTTTTCTCTGGTAATATCACACTGCTAACTAGAGCATACAAAACATTTGCTAGACCATTGGATATTAATACAGTTGAGAAAGTCCAGAAATATTTCACAAGAAGAGTTCTCCACTCTACTTGTAGCAGAATACTTATGCCACCAGACTTGAAATTTTAGACCTAGACAACCTAGAACTATGTCACCTTCGGTCCGATCTAAATATAGTACATAAAATTTTCTTTTGTATTTTCTTTATTTTCAAACAAAATAAAATAAATATGTAAATGAGAAGGAGAAAAAAATGACAAGGGGGAAAATAAGTAAATAAGGAGGAGGAAAATTGATAGACTAGCTTATGTCTTGCAGCCCTCTCTCAGCCCTCTCTCTAATATAATAAGATATATATTTTCTATAATGTTCTGTCTTATGAAATAATAACAGAATAACAAAATAACAGAGTAGGATGGTACCTTGGAGGTTTTTAGTCTTCTGCTGCTTAATCAGGACACCCTATACTATTTCAGACAAAGAGTTGTCCAATCTCGTCTTTAAAAACCTCTTTAAAATTGTTTTATTTGCCTGATTTACAATCAGATTGCCTTCTCTGTTCATTTTCTCTAAAGCTCATTTGCAAATACCAATCATTGCAAGAAGGTCTATGATGCAAATGTTCAATAGATTTTGCAAAATGGCACAGACAAAAGCATACGAGTAGACCTTAATTAATTTGGCAATACCATGTGATGATGCAAAACAATAAGTTATTTCCTTAGAGCAATGCTGAAGTTAAGTAGAACTCAGCCATATCCACCTGGAATAAACTTCTGGAATAAACTTCTGAGTATATATATAAACTTCTGAGTATATATATATATATACACTCAGAAGTT